CCTCCTGAGAAGTGTGGTAGATGTTCAGTCCTCGAAACCCAGAGAATCTAACAAATTTGGTGTTGCAGATGACGTCGATATAATCGAGTGATGATTGCAAATCTAACCGACTATGATTTCTAGCTATCGCTGGAAACTTTCTTGAGAAACTGACAGCGAGTTGGTGACAGCTACTTTCATATTGTGCTCTTGGCTCACATTAGGGACGTTCTTTTATTCACCTGTGACTCCATCAATCCACCAACTGAGTTCATATTTATATTCTTTGGTGGATTCCAGTTTGACGTAACCACGCTTTCATTTATTACTGTTGTGTCAATCCAAATTGCAAACCATTCCACCGATGTACAGAGATGGTGGACGAATTTTGGTGGATTCCGAAATAACAGCGACAGCATCTGTGGCATAACCTCAAAAAACTAAGAATTGAAAGCTGTTTTTAAGGAAAAATATGGATGAATTCATCTTAATCAGTCTAGTACATGAAAATAAAAGATTAGCTGCATTATTGACACCAACAGAAATTGAATAAATTTCGAAGGGTAGGTACTCTTTTCAATCACATGATGAATTTCTTCTTGAAACTTGAGTACCAACAGAGAATGTTTTATGAATGACACTATACATATCATCATAACTTAATGCAATGTTTTGTATCTAGGTAGTCGAGAATTTACTCCCCAACATGAACAGTATTCCATCCTCGGAACTATCAGAAGGACTGCTGAACTTCTGGTTCTGGAGACAACGACTCCAATAACACTTTCATATAATACATCATCATACTAAGCTTCTAATTGAAAACGATAACTGCGTTTTTTTTTCAACACTGATGACTCCAATAATTCGGTGCATCAGAGAGTGACGTCACATACCATCTAGCTTTGTCTTCTCGATGATTCTTCAAAGCCTTGACAGTAGCGTTCTCTTGATATAGTTAGTTGATACAAGTTGCTGGTTATTTCTGCCCGTAGTGCTTGTTAGGCATTCGCAGTAGTATAATAGGCATTGCGATTTCTTCTGCTTCTTGACATAACCTGTCCAATACGATCAAGGTCATACATATATAGAACCGCTATCATGAGAATCGCCGTTATTTTTTCTAACGATAGTGGCTAACGCAACTAACTTTGAGTGCTTCCAATCCCTTGGAAAAACCCTCTATATAGTTTGAATACAAATCAGATGAGTACTGTTAAAAATTTACACTTTCATCTAGAAAAGATAATTAACTGACTTTAGGGTGTCAGGGCATCGTCCACCATATTGGTGGACGATGGTCAGGGCATGATGGAATTGAAGGAAATGAAACTGCTGACGCCCTAGTCAAGAGAGGAGCCTCGGCATCATTTTAGGAACCAGAACCAGATTTTTTGCACGAACAGCAACTAAATACATGTGGAAGATTCGTGGGAGCATCTCCAATGAAGTGATGGGCCTTGATTCCAAAGACTCCAGATGGTCCTCTTCGCTCTTCCAGAAATGTTGGTGGTGAAACTGAAATCATCAGTTATGTTCGAAATTTCACTGCTTCTAAAACTGACTGACTGAAATGTTTTCTTAGGCCACGCCCTCGCATTTGATGCAGCATTGCATTGATGAAGCTACATTGACGATTGCAATGAAACCATCAATGATAAGGAAACTGCTATTCGAAGGACAAAGGTTGACAGTTAAATTCATGAGGACATTTACAGCATTGACTGAAATTATTAACCAATATCCAATCAACCCGTAGTACTTGTTAGCGAATCGTTTAAACAGAGCTGACCCTACTGACTGAACGATTGAATCTTCAATGGCGACTTCGATGGTATTAAACCTTTGTAGTTCCTAATCCATCGAACATCGATCTTAAAAAAGAGCAAGTCATAATATTACTCAGGTCATGAGTTATGACAAAAACATGTCAGACTCATTTCGTATTTCCTTACCTTCAACCACTGATATTTGATTCATTGCTCCTATTCGCTCCTATTTGATAAGACCTAAAAGTTTATTAGGCACTGTATAGAAATACTGTCAGCTCAATGACTATAAGATCTACGATTTATTTTCCACAGAAAGTTTGATGCTGAAACTTGTGTTGACAGTTGACAATGCAACCGTTTCCAATAGCAATATTCTATTTGCCTTGTTACAATCTCACTACTGAGATCAATTGAGTTAGAAAGAGGTGAGACGGATCTTGTGTCGATTGAATAAAAAGAACACGTTTTTATCTGTCAGCCTTAGAGTTGTAATAATATGTCTTCATTGGATTTTATCACCTATATCAAGGGATTTTGGAAACAAATTAATCATTTTTTTCAAAGGATTTAACCTGTGGACTGAAGCTACAAAGCTGAAAGCTTGTCATAATGAAAATATAACCTCACAATTTTTAGCACAGAATCCCAGAATTACTAGAATCAATCCAGTCTCACCTTGGTCTCACTCTCACTACAACACCAGATGAATAAATAGCAAGCTCAGTTAGGGCAACAGTTGAGGTGAGGGAAAAGAAATAGTCTCAATAAGTTATTGAGCCAACTCACATCAGACAAAGATAAATGAAACATGTAATACAACTGAGCTATTGAGCTGCAATGAGAATCTTAGTTAATCTTAGTCAAAGTTGGTAAAAAGAATATTACGAATTATACCTACCAGTTTCTTTGTCACTATATCTACCAATCATTGGATAGGCCGATTATTGTCCTGGTTATATTTATACTGTGAATAATGTACGAATATATAGAGGACAAAGGTGCAACGAACTCGCTGGATTGATAGAATGCCATCGCTTAGAAAAAAAAGTAGAATTAGAATAGGAAGGCGACGACGATCCTGGATCGTTGACTTATATTTGAAACAATTTTCGCTGCTAGTGCGCGAATCTGGAGCATATCTACAGTATATAGTAACTTTTTTTTCGTTTAATTTCGAGGCAACAAAATTCTCATTAAAATGTCAAGATTACTTCGACAAAGAAATGTGTAATTATAAGTGACTATTCCACTCTTGGTCTCTAGAATCAATCAGAATGGGCCATTTTCACGGTTTTCTTCTGTATTACAGCGATATTTTTTTATTTACTAAACTTTGTCGGACTTGCTCTACCAATCTCGCTACCAATACAGAAGCCGAATTGACCCACACGTGACCAACCTTCCTCGTTTTTCAGCGATAAAATTTTGGACGTTTAAAACGTCAATTATGTTGGAAGCTAGGATGAAGAAGTGTACGCAACTCTCGCGAGCCGCTCGTTTATTGTCTCAATCATGGAATACTCATACGAATACAACTCGTGATACTTACTATTTTTCCTGGAAGTTTTGATAAAGAATGTCATTCTGCGAAATTATTAGGCAACAAGCTGTCGGAACAATCGCCGAATATTTCCGGCATATGATTAATCGTCTCCTCCTCGATAAAAACTCGTCTACACATTGAACTATCAAAATTAATTTGTACCTGCGTATGACATCTTGGTTTCCTTAACCTATATCGGATGTATAGGTCGCGTGCAAGAACTGTCAGATGACTGACCCTGGAGGCAAAACATATTTGTTTACAAGTGATCGAAATAGTTTTCCACAATTATTTTGGCATATGAATCGTATTTTTCCGCTATTCATCAATTCGCTAATGCCATCACATTGTGCTGTTGTAAAATGCACAAAAACTGCAGCGGAAGATGAAGTAATCCGGATGGTACATTATGATTCAAAAGTAAGTACCTACTAAGTCACTCACATAGTTTTCATTTTTGAAATTTGGTTATTTCTCTGATTTCTCATCGGAATTCCTTCTGCAATAGGATCAGCTAATAGAAATATACCTGAAATTTCTAGAATAATGCAAGAAGATTGGATTCATGCAATCAATCGGTAGGACTGGTCTGACATGCTGACGATCGTGTGTGTTGTAGACATTTTCAATCTATTAGCAGCATTAGCTTGTATTGCAGAAGTGGCAGAAGGCAGAAGGAATGACAACATTTCATAATGCTAACTATGTGAGATTACTATTTACCTGAAATCCTGGAAAATCATATTCCCTAGTCTCTTGCTGCATTTTTTGTGCATTGTACAACAGCACAATGCGAAGGCATGCTTGAATTAATGAATAACGCAAGAAACACGATTCGTATGCCAAAATATTGTGAAAAACTATTTCAACCTTTTAATTCCTCTGTTACCAAATAAAAAAGTGAGGTTGTGTTTCAATAATTCACAGAAGAATGAGGTTGTGTTTCAATATTTTGCCTCCAGGGTCGGTCTTCGTGCACGCGACCTATTGTCATCTCGATTGTCATTCAACAGTATAACACAAATGCTCTTTTTCCTAAAAACACTAGCATATAGGAGATAAGATATACTCGTAAAATTTGATTGTGAAGTAAATTGTTTTTCTTTCAAATTGATGAAGAATTATCTTTCCAAATACAACTCTTTCTTTAAATACCAAACTTCTTTAACTGAGGCAGGAAAAAAAAACGTTCGGTTTGTTTTAATATTTTTGTCAAAAAAAAAGTGTTCGTGGCAGTTAAAAAACTATTGATTCGATTTGAAGGACTCCACAATAGGTCAGTACCTGTTAAAGGTAATTATACGACTTAAGCTATTTATAGATTTTCATTAGCATTTTGACACTGCACTTGACTCAATCCACCTTCCTACATCGGCTGGTGATCATTCATCATTCATTTACGACATTCAATTGTTATTGCCCGTCCGAGTGGAACAACAATAGATGATGATAGGTACATAATAATTGAATCCAAGTCGATCTAGAAAACATCCAGCTCCATTCGCGTTCAAGGTCCAATGCCCAATGCATCATCATCTATTTCCATTATTTTTTGTCGAACCGATGGATAATAATTATTCGTGTTTACCGAGGTTTATGCAATTCCCCTTCAATTTCTGTGATATCGCAGCATCAGTATCACTAATATACCTAGATATCTTATTTTTTTCATTTTCAAGGAGTAATGAAGTTATTGGAAGCCTTACCTTTAGGATCCAATTTTTCAGGATTGAACCATGCATCTGAAAGCAAAAGATTAGCGTTTGTTAGTAAAAGATAATAAAGAGGAAAAATTAGATTTGGTTTAGTTGTGCTGGGTACCTAGGTATTCACTATAGTCTAGACACCGGCATCTACAGCGTGTCTCACGTTTAACGCCCTCCCTCTATATCTCAGTTATTAGTCATGCGATTCCAACCAAATTCGGTGTGGTATGGATAACCATCAATATGATCAGTTCTACAGAGCTGCACATTATTATAGACAGTGCCGTGCGCTTTTATTGAACTAAAAAGGGGTCGATTTTTCATAAAATCATATTAGGCATTTTTTTACAGGAAATCTGACCTCATATTATTGTTCCTCATGCTTTTGATACCCCATATGCAAAAAATCACCTAATTCCGAATTAACAGGATTGGCTTCATTTTTTTCATTTTCAGTCTCGAATAAATAGTGACTTCAAATCAACTTCGAATTTTGAAACGTTCAATCGCTCCGCTAGATGGAAAATCATGATTTGGAAGGAAAAACGAATTATACTTTTTTATGTTGAACTCACCGTTTCCGAGTAAATAATTATTACGTTCGAAAAATGCTGTTTAGATGTGCCTGTTTTTCAGAAACCCTTCATAGGCATCTTATGAAAATCCACATACGTGGGTTTGAAACCATGAAGAACAATATTATGAGGTCAGTTTTCCTGTGGAAAAATGCCTAATATGATTTAATAAAAAATTGACCCCTATTCATTTCAATAAAAATGCACGGCACTGTCTAAAATGATGTTTATCTTTGAAGAACTGGTCATATTGATGATTATTCCGATACCGATACAAATTTGGTGAAGATCGCACGACTGATGGCTCAGATATGGAGGGGGGCCGTTTGAAATGAGACACGCTGTATATAATCCTCGGGAAAAATTAGATTTTAGTTGTGCTGGGTACCTAGGTATTTACTATAGTCTATACACCGGTAGATCGAATTGGAACCCTTAGAGCATTCTTACGCTATTACCTCAATCTGTCCTCATTTCGGGGCATGTTTAATGAGGGCATAGTAAATATCTATTTGCGGGATACCAAAATAGCAAAAGGTATGAGCACTAAGATTATTAATTGGTCTCGTAATTGGTTAATGAGTTGTTTTGAAGAAACATCAAACAACAGAAATCAAGGCTAATAGTGTTTTGATCATCTATTTTTAGCCCTGTAGGTACGCAACAATTTGCAGTACTATACCAACCAAGTGACTTGCATCTTTACTTGAATAGGTACGAGCTTAAATAGGAAGTTGAACGCTCAAAGGCTCTCAACCATTTCTGAAATCAAGAAAAAAAACCTTGGCGGAAACCGTGCAATTTATCTAAACTGCTCAACACATGAAACGTGAAATCGCATTTTTTCGATCTTTGAATCATCATAACTTTCGATATCTTCAACCGATTTCCAATTATTTTTCAGTTTCTGATAGCTCGTTTCAATGAATATCAAACCTATGGATATGACTATTTCATCTCTTCCGGATAAGATTCTACAGGATGATAATCAAAGCTGTGAATTTTTCCAAAAATTTTAAGCGCCTGCCGTTTGAAGGGAAAATTTCTCTATATTTTTTTGGGGTCAAAAACATATTGCTTCATATGTTTTCTCGATACTGTAAAAAAATTTGAGAATCGTCACTGGCTCAGTCTTGGTCTTGAAAACATTTCAAATTCAAACCAAATAACTTTCGTATTTTTGTTTCTATCTTCAATAGGAGGAGGTATGGAGTATGGACCACTGTGACCTTACAACATACACCTATTTGGTGTAAACTTCAAAACTGCAATACTGAATTTGAAAAATGTATTTCGGATTTCGAGTGAACAAAAATTGAAAAACTACCATATACCAAATGAATAACTGACCAAATAAGAAGAATTACTCGGAAGATTATATTCTCGATCATATTAGGTATTTATTATTTTCTTGATTATTTTCGAGATTATTTTTGTGTAGGTAGTGAACAGTGAAACCTATACAATGTTTTTCAATTGCGTTTTCAAGCTGTCAAGGGCGTTGAAAGGTATGTACATATATATACATGGTTTGTTATTATATTATTATATAGGTTTACCAACATTTATTATTATTTTCACATGCCTCGACTTCTACTCGTTTTGTTTTGATAGGTATTATACTTGTTGATACGTGATACTGTTATTTATATCCGCTTATAAGTATCATATTATCATAAAGTTTCATACCTACATACCTACTTAGGAAAACGAAAAGGTACGTGCCTATATAACCGTATAGTCCGTATATCAGTCAAAATGTTTTCATTTAAATTGGTAAGGGTATTCAACCAAGTATTTAACTCCGTACAATATGTAATGATGATTTGAAAAACTATTGCCAACTTCAAGTTATCTACCCAATCAGTATAACGAGTATATACCTACTGGAGTTTATAATAAGTATAAGCACAGGTATAAGGGCATGGCCTAGGGGTAGCTGACTCGTCTAAAATACGTACACATACCTATAGACCGCAACTGGACCTAATTTCGAATTCGAGATAAAATTTGACAATATTAGGAATAAACTGGGCATAATCGAATGATAGATATAAGTATGACCATTTATTAGGCGATACTAAAATGACTTAGTTCCTAGCTTTGTTCTTAGTTCCCTTTGAAAACATTTAACTTGAACTGGAAACCAGCAACAGTAATAATGGCCGCCTATCCGACTTTGGACCTGTTGATTAAACGAGTAACTGTCTGAAATAATCCCCAGATAAGTGGTAAACAAATGGATTATTCCGTTGTTGCGTTGTTTGAATCATTTTTCTTGCTTTCTATATTATGAGAGTTCATAAGTCCAAAACTGGCTTCGTATCTTCACATCGCTCGCTAAGTACCTCGCTAAGTACCTAGTTGATAGGTACCTACTATTACCTCGAATATTACGTACTACACTTGAGGTGTTATCTGTTGTCTCTTTTCTTTAGAATAGTTATTTACCTAACAAGTGCGGAAAGTAGTACTTTTCCGCACTCGACGGGAGTTGCGCGAACGACGCGGAGCGGAGTTTGGGCAAGTCGTCAAGGGCGGAAGACATTTTCCACAAGAGTTAGGTACAAAGTTTTTCCTACGAGGGTTTTTGTCCATATTATTCAAGAAAAAAAAAAGGTTTTTAATAAACAATATTTTATAATGATGCTACAAAATTACAGATAAGACAGAATAGTTACATGGATCATTTAGTTAGTCCTGAATATCCTTAGTTTCAACAATACAAGAATCGTGCGGAAGTAACTTTTCAGCACTAGTGCAGTGAAGTAACTTTTCTGCACGATATTTTCATGCACTGAAAAGTAATGAAATAGATTTTTTTTCATCAATATAATAGGAAACTTATTTGAAGGACATTCAAATAACAATAACTAAAACATTAACGTTGGTAAATATTGAGATTGAAAGTGCAATTTGTGTTTGTTGCATGCTGTAATATAGCCGAATATAGCAGATGCCGCAACATCATGAAGAACATGGTTTCTTATTTGAATTTGGTTGGTTAGTGTTTGGCCCACTACAGAAATACCTTGATCAGTTTGTTGCTGAGATTAGTTTAGTGGAGAGAAAGGTAGATTGGTCTGAAATGCTTATTTGTTGACTGCCACTACTATATTAATTGTTATGGGTACGTTCTGGTGCCAACAGTAAACACCACATGTCTCCTGGTATTTTCTTCGAAATCGTGGGGAAATATGGGGAAAAGTAAAATAGTACGGAAAAGTACAACTTTCAATACGAAAAGGCATGCGGAAAAGTTATTTTTCCGCACGCTCGTAGAAAAAATATGTTGCTGCTACGCCTATGAAGAAGTAAGAAGTAATGAAAAAACACCTAAATGACAAAGAAGTTTCCTCAGGTCAATCCTCGGGTAGGTATTTCGTTTTTGCCTCGGTTTTTGCAGCCGGGATGAAATTTCAAGTCCAACTAAACAGGGACCAAGACACGGAGTCAGGGACAAAAAAAAATGAGTCCGAGTAACAACCTATATTTCTATTATAGGTAATAATTAAGATGCATAAGCATTTCAGTATAATGAATAAACAGTAGGGATCTTTCAAAAATTCCTTGAGTGGTTGTTGACCTATATTATCAACTACCGAGGTGAGTGCCATCACTGCCATCAGGAGTAAATGGGTCACTTCAGCCCAATAATAACCGACTTATTAGCCATATTATATGAAATTATGAAATATGAATGAATCAGGATATTATTGGCCATCGTCACAAAAACTACAGTTTAACCGGCTAGTTTCTTGTTCTTAATGAATTACTAAAGGCCTTACTTGGACAAAGAAAGACACACAACAAAGACCTCTGACACAAGGATGTCTTATCGCCGCCACCCTGTTGCCCTAATTTTCTCGATTCCTGAGCCCCGTTCAGCACCTCAGCCACCACCTCTTTGGCAACGTTCTTCAAATCCTCGTTCATATTCACACAAAATCACTCCAATCAGACGACAAACAACGAAGTACAAGTACACGTAACGACAGTATGATAACGTATACCCTCGAACCCTCGATACTATCAAAACTGAATGCAGTTTTCAGTTGATTATTAATCGAAAATGATCAGAATTTACTATGAATGACAGTTTCGTTCCGAACTTCGCAGTTCGACCCCGGCTCAGTGTTACAATGTTGCCAATGTTGCCATTGCCACAGCACAGGCAATTCAGGCATAAGTTTTTTCTAGCGAATCGAGCGGACAATGCTGTAAAAACGAGCGAGATATCAACTCAAGGAGCGAGATTTTGTTGTTGATGAAATAAATGAATGTACCTATTAACCCTACATTAACTCACAACCACGATCTCACAACACAATACTCTGGTACCTAGGTTCATGAATAAATATAAAAATAGAAACTCTCATTTTTTTTACATTATTTCTTTATTTTTGAAAGTTGAAAGTGCTTCCATCTATCAGAGATAGACAAGTTGTTGAGATAACAAAG